AGGTCAGGTCATAATGATGTCGTCCACTAATCCCCAGACCAACACACACGTAGAGGAGCTTAAGAGAAGGGGGGTGACGTGACTAGTCAGGTCAGGTCAAAATAAGGACCCACTAAATAACTATCATACATCTAGCTCAAAGGTTTTCAAAGCATTTTTAACCTTGGGACACTGACAAATAAATTTATGTAACATATTATCAGTTTTGAACTGACCATTACTAAGGTTTATTGATTTTAATTCTTAATCAAACTAGCTTCAACCAGAAGTCTTTTCTGTGACACAAGATGATTTAAATACTTCTAAGCTTTTTCCCCAAGCAATGGGATGATTATTATTCCTAACATGAACAAACAAGGCACTGCTTTCAGATGCTGTTTTGATATTGTACTTATGTTGTTTGATTCTGAGCTGCAGTGTTTTTCCTGTCTGTCCTACATAATTACAATTACATTTGCTATATGGAATACAATAAACACTTCCATTTACATTCAAACTTGGGCTATTTCTTATTAACATATTGGTAATAAGAACATAAGAAAATAAGGAATCTGCAATAGGCCGGTTGGCCTGTGCATGGCAGCTCCTGTCGAGAGTTACTACCACTCTCTTATGAATCTATCTAGCCTAATGGTTGAGGTAATGGTTGAGTCATACTTGAAAACAACATTAATATTTAGAAGCTTGAGGGACCGAACTAACGGGACAAATTCATTACGATATATATATTTTTTCTTTTTGACGCGAATTTACTTAGCGATTATTAACTAAATAAAAATTTTTCTGTATATCTATCTGTTTATATATTTTTATGCTGTAATTCTTGTTGACAATGCAACTATACTTAGGTGTGAGTATGGGAGGGTGTGTACTGTACAGTGTGTGGTGTGGAGGCTTGGAAGTGACCTGAATACAAGCAGTTGTTTTATCGATCATGTCAAAGTGGCGCTTGAATCGATGAACCTTGTGCGATTTAAATACAAATTTTTACGTCCAAATCATGCGAATTTTACCCCAACTTCTATGCCAGTGCTATTAAATCTTTTATATTACAAGAATAATATGTGTTTGTTGTTGTTATAGATCAAGGTAACGTAATTCAACTCTCAGGGACACGAAACACAAGCACTGGAACAACAAATGAATAAAATGGACAATTGTCCCAACATCAATCCCCTGAAACCCAGAATCTCTAACCCGAAACCCCATAAACCGAATCTCAAAACCCACATCCCGAACTCCAAACCCTGAAGCCCGAACCTCCAAACCCTGACCTCGAACCCCTAAATCAGTTTACCGTATATAAGTAGAAAATTACTATGATCATATTTCAAGATAATGACACGTAATATTCCGATACTTGATTTACGTAAATTTCGACTCCTTATTTTGCTGTTATCATTACTGTTATTATTTGATTATTGTTATTATTGTATTATTTGATTATTATATTATGATTATAATTACTGTTATTAATGTGACAAAAAATAGGTGACTGTTGTAAAGATAATTAGTTTTTGTTAGTACATGCAGTGTGTAATGGTGTCGCGCCACCAACTGTTAAAGGTCAGTTCGTTGCACAAAATCAAAGTGTGTTACTGCAATGGCAACACATTGTAATGGTTTATTAATACAGTTGCAGCCGGTGGCTGAAAATATACAGACTTACATTTGATTTGTTTGTTTGTGTGTGTGTGTGTGTGTGTGCTATTATGTGTTTGTGTGTGTAGAGGGGGAGTGGGCGGTATATGTTAATATTGTAAGTGTGTGGCAACTCCACCCCTCGTCCCCGGTTGTCTGTCTGTCTGGTAACTGTGCCAACTCATCCCCCACGAGCGTTATATTCTGAAACCCATGACGATGAATTTGGATAAAGTGACAAAAGATTCGAGGTTCCAGTCTGAACTTCACCCAAATTCTTCGTCATGGGTTTCAGAACATCAGGCGCGGTAAGTATTTTTTCTTTGACTCGACAGTTAATTTCAATGATTATTTGTATCGGAGTGACTGGATGACATCACCATCTTCATCATCATAGAGGTTTAGGGAAGCGTGTCCAGAATGTATTCATAGGTTGTCATGGATGGAAATATAATCAGATTTCAATTGTTTATTAAAAACATCCAAGCACAGGGATCTTTTACTTGTTTACAAACCATGATGGTGACTTGGCGCGTGGATGAGTAAACATTGGTGTGATAATTACAAAAAATAATACCGAAAAAAGATCCATGTGATATATAAGGACTGTGTGACCCCTGGTGACCTCTGATGACCACAACATTGAGAGCGTCACCGTCATGTTGATATACTTTTGTTCTCGGCCAGCATCGACTTGCTTTTGTCTGTCCACCCGTCTGACCGCCGTCCCGGCCCAAAATTACCTTGCAGCATCGGGTAAATTAAGCTGGGGTGTCTAATCTTCAGGTGATCTGGAAAAAAATTAATAGGAACCATTGAGAATCCATATTTGTCTTGTGGCCTAAGTTGAGTCAGGTTGATGCGTGTTTATTATCTACAGATTAACTCCTTGAGGACGGAATTGGTTATCGTAATCAAAGGACTCGGACACCGTACCTTAAGAGGAAATATTAACGAGGTTATCTGTGACAATCTCGCCCATGGCCTACCTTATCAAGGCACGGGCTACCCACCCTTGGGATTATACCTTCCTTTACGGTGTTAGTTGTAGTACTGATAACGGTTGTGATACTGATGGAGGTAATTGTGGTAGTGGTAAGTGTGGTGGTAGAATTATTACTGGTGGTGATAAATGTGGTAGTGGTGGTACTAGTACTGATAGTGGTAGGTGTGGAAGTGATGGTGATACAGGGGTGGTAGTTGTGGTACTAGTGATGTTAGTAGTAGTAGTGGTAGGGAGCGCGAGAGATTCCTAGAAACCTGTGATAATGTCTTGGACCGCGTGGTAGTGATGCAAGATGGCTGCCTCCTGTTTATTTGCTCGAAACAAGGCTAATAGAGTACCTGGGTTCATACAAAGGAGTGTTAGTTACAAGACTAGAGAGGTCATCCTAAAGCTACGTGTATATCTTGCGCTTGTGAGACCTCACTTGGATTGCGCAGTTCAATTCTGGTCACCGTATTACAGAATGGATATAGAATCCTTAGAAACAATTCAGAGGAGAATGACAAGAATAATCCCGGGCATTAGGAACCTTGAGTACAGAGACAGGTTAAAGCATCTTAATTTGCACTCCCTCGAGAGACGTAGAGTGAGGGGCGATATGATCGAGGTGTATAAATGGAAGTCAGGGCTGAACAAAGGGGACATTACTAAGGTACTCTTAACTATCCAACCAGGAGCGAACTCGTAACAATGGTTTTAGATTAGAAAAATTTAGAGTTAGGCACGAAATAGGTAAACATTGGTTTGGAAATAGAGTAGTGGATGAATGGAACAAGTTACCAAACATCATTATTAACTCGAATACGCTGAATATCTTCAAACATAGGTTGGGTGGATATATGAGCAATAGGGGTTGGGTGTAAATGGGACTGCCCAGTATGGGCCATTAGGCCCGCTGCAGTTTCCTCCATTTTGATGTTCTTACGGCATCGTACTTGATGACCACGTGGGGCTGGGCACAAGATGGTGGACTGTGTGTGTGTGTGTGTGTGTGTGTGTAGGATTGAGTGAAAATAGGTGAGGGGGGAGGCATGACGTAAGAGAGGCGGAGGTGAGGTGGAGGGGAGAGACGGTATGTTGAGAGGTGAGGGAAGAGGATGGGATAGGAAGGGGAGTGGGGATAACAAGGTGGGAGAAGGGGAGTGGGGATAGCAAGGTGAGGGGAAGAGGAGTGGGGATAACAAGGTGAGGGAGGAAAGGGGGAGTGGGGATAGCAAGGTGAGGAGGGGAAGAGGAGTGGGATGAATCATTCCCAGTCACGTCACATGTTGCAGCTGGGTCATGTGAGATCACCACCAGTCTGAACACACACACACACACACGTGCCTGTCTCTGCAATTGTGCCTGTGCGTGAGGGGTGCGTGTAACTAAAATAGGGAGGGGTGATGGGGCGGATCACACGCTAACAATAGACCCCTGCTCATGCCCCCCACTGCTGCTCACCTCCTCGCTCCACCCCCTCCCTCGCTTCTCACCCTCCCTCGTTTCTCCCTCCACACGCTAATGGGTAGTCAATGGCGTGCTGTTCCTATTTCCTCACCTCCTCACCTGTCTCACCCTCACTCATGTGACCTATATGAACTACCTGCATGGGGAAGAGAGAGAGAGAGAGAGAGAGAGAGAGAGAGCATTATTGATCGATATATATCCCTGCCAATGTGTGTATAAATTATCGTTGATCAATAGGTTCGTACGGTGTCTTGCCAATTTTTGCTATTCATTATATAACACTAACAGCTGGATGGGGTGATTATGGTGTTGAATTGGTGATGGTGATTATGGTGTTGAACATGGTGATGGTGATTATGGTGTTGAACATGGTGATGGTGATTATGGTGTTGAAATATGTATAACGGTAACTAATGTGTTTATGGATATGACAGTAATTGATGATGGTGGTGAATTTAATCATGACTTATGGTGAACACTGATGATAGTGAATTTGGTGATTACATTATTTGGTGGCCGGGATTAATAACAGCCACACCTTACCTACATACTGCCATTCATTCATTCATTTATATTGGTGTAGTACAAGTATTCTCTCCCAACACTAGACTAATTCTTTTACATACCCTGTCCATTATTGGGAGGATATCCGCTATTGGGAGGGTTTACGTTATTGAGAAGTCCGCTATTGTGAGGGTTTACTGTATATATATATATTCCCTTTCACAACAAACTCCAAACATGTATATGGTTGTTTTGCTCATCATCAACAACGTGACGGTCCACCACGAAGAACCCCTCGCCACGCCTCCATGCTATCCTCTCATTCACTCACACTGTTGCTTCCTGGGCGCTGGTAGACTGGGGATTATACCTTATGTGGTGTGTTTATGTCTCCTTACAGGTCCATGTGGAGGGAAGACCACCGGGCAGTCCAGACTCTGTACCTTTTTTGAGAACCTCGGCTGGAAGGTAAGTAACGTTTAGTATGGTTGTGTTTTGTCTGTGAGAGCTTGTAGTTGGAGGTTACCCATGACCTCACTCGATACATATACCCACGTCTTGTAGGTTACCCATGGTCATATTAGATACCCGTGCCTTGAAGGGAGGAGGTTAACCCACGTCTTGTAGGTTACCCCTGGTCATATTAGATACCCGTGTCTTGAAGGGAGGAGGTTAACCCACGTCTTGAAGGTTACCCATGGTCATATTAGATACCCGTGTCTTGAAGGGAGGAGGTTAACCCACGCCTTGAAGGTAGTTACCCATACCCAGATTAGATACATACCCACGTCTTGAAGGTAGTTACCCATGCCCAGATTAGATTAGATACATACCCACGTTTTGAAGGAGGTTAACCCACGCCACAGGTGCTTCTCTTATACAGAATCACGTCCTCACCTGAAGCCAAATCGAGGTAAAGTCCCGGTGAACTCCGCTGACTCTCTGACACCTTAAAAAAGACTGGAAGACGTAGGAAGGCCGTCAAGCTTATTTGTTTATGTGAGAATTCCTAACTTGTGGGGGGTAGTGTGACTGATAGGTTGTGGTGGTGGTATTGTGGAGGGTGGTGGTGTGTGGAGGGTGGTGTGCTGGTGGTAGTGTGTGGAGGGTGGTGTGGTGGGCGGTGGTGATGGTGGTGGTTGTTGTGGTGGACGGCAGTGGTGGTTGTTGTTGTTGTTGTGTGGAGGGTGGTGGTGGTAGTGTGGAGGAGGTGGTGTGGGAGAAGTATTGATGTTGAGGTGATGGTGCAGTGGTAACATATGTAGTAGTTGTGGATGGGGTACAATGACGGTGGTGATTTAGTCGTGAGTCATGATCTGTGTGTGTGTGTGTGTGTGTGTGTGTGTAATAATAATAATAATAATAATAATAATAATAATAATAATAATAATAATAATAAAGGGTTTATTAATAGAGTTGCAGACGGTGGCTGAAAATATACAAACTTACATTTGATTTAGACAATGATATGCGTTAAATACATTTACAGGGCTGTGCAGTACATAAATCAGGAGTTGTTTATTATTTTAACAATAGATGGGATGGTGCTGTTCTTATATCTATCAGTGCGGGCTCTTATGGGCTGAATTTTGTTGTAGTGGCGGACTGCGCGAGGTGGGCGGGGGACTGCCGGTGGCAGGAGGTGGCGATGACGAGGATGGTGTAGTAGTCCACTGCCAAACCTTGCTAGTGGTTGGTGGTGGAGGTCACTGAGGGATGGCATTTGCAGGGTGGAGAGAGCGTTGTTGTAGCCGGAGTAGTCTGCGCCGACCATGATTCTGCAGGCTCTCTTCTGTACCTTCTCTAGTTGACGTTGTTGGGTGGAGTTGAGAGAAGACGACCAGGCTGGTGACGCATACGTTAGTTTGGGGAGAATAAAGGCGTTGTAGGTAGTCCTCAGCTCTGGCGTGGGTGCCCCAAGTGACCCGAGCCGTCGTAGCATGTAGAGTCAGTACGAGGCTGCCTTGATTGTGTTGTTTACATGGGCCTTCCAGTTCAGTTTGTGGTATATGGTAACACCCAAGAGTTTGATAGACTGCACCAACTGGAGAGGATGGGCACCCACTGTGACTGCTGGAGCTTGCACTGGAGTGGTGGCGGTATTGATGTGAATGACTACGGTTTTGGTGTGGTTGATGGTGACCTTGTTCTCCGTAGTCCATGTCTGTAGCCTGTCCAGGGTGCCTTGTAGCGATGAATAGTCCGGTGAGGTGTTGTCCACTGTAACCCCCACAGTGCAGTCGTCCACGTACTTCCACCTGTGAGGAGTGTCCGATAGAGCGTCGTTGATCAGGAAGCACAGTGGTCCCATCTTGGTCCCCTGGGGAACACCGCAGGTGAGGTGTTGGAATGTGGAGACAGAACCCTGGTACCTCCACTGCCAAGTCCAGGTGCCGACGAAGACGTGTGTGTAACAGGATTTTCTGCACCACCACTGCACGTTCTTCACACACACACACGTCGTTGTCGCCACCTGGACTTGGCTTCACTACCTCCCCGTCCCCTCCCAGCACCACCGTCTCCTACAGCTGGGCCTCAGATTCTCTTATACTGCACTATTTAGTTTGACTCCCTCCCTCAGCGTGTCTCTTAACTGCTGCACTTTACATACCATACGACACAAAGGCGGATAATAAAATCTCATTACGTTAAACATTACTCAGATTGGCTCGGTTAATCTATGACCCAAGGACGGATTCTAAAAAGTTCACGTGATATATTATTTTGATTGGTTCTCTTAAGTTCGATACAATGGTTTCTAACAGTTCCTTACGATAGTTTTCTCCTAACGATACGAAGATTGATTCTGAAAGGGTCGTCTGTTTAGTTTATGCCAAATGTTGATATGATAACTTTGAAAATTGGTTCACTTTTACTAGGCTCCAGCACAGTGATGGCGACTTATATGGTCAAGGAACTGTTCTGAGACTATACATAGACTGTAGCTCTTTTATCCCCAAGTTCTGAGAAAACTATCTTAGGTGTGGTTATTCGCGTGTGTGTGTGTGTGTGTGTGTGTGTGTGTGAATGCGAGAAAATATCACCACCAGACATCAGTTCATAGAAAGTGGGTACTCAGGGATGGTTAAAGGGGTGACTGTGGCGTTCTTAGCAGCAGCAGAGGGGTGAAGGTCAACCTCACACAGCCGCCTTTGTTGTCCAGCTGTGGCGTTTGTTGAATAAACTTGACCTTTCACAACTGGTTTATTTACAGAAGCTTTAACTCTATGAACACACACACACACACACACACACACACACACACACACAAATAATAATAATAATAATAATAATAATAATAATAATAATAATAATAATAATAATAATAGTGACCGTTGATTGGATGTTCATAGAAGGGGTACGAGCCCACTTTTCCGTGTGGAACTAATGATCAAGTCCTTCCTGAGAACCTAGGAGGGACGCCCGTATCTCTAACCCACTACCACACTGGTTCTGGGAATTCTACCACTGCCAGGAATATCACCACATGGGGTTTCACTGCTACTTCCATCACACTACCATGATCACACTACCACCATCACCAAGATCACACTACAGCACTACCACCACCATCACCACGCTACCCAACACCAACATACTACCGACACCACTACACTACCACCATCACACTACCACCATCACCACCACTATCAGTTACCACTATTACACCAACGCTGCCACTACCAGATACCACTATCAAGAGTCATTCCATATAGGGTACACTTCCTCTACCACTCCTCACTACCACCATACCATCACACTACCCCCACTACACAACTACCACCCCTACCACTACACTACCACCCCCACCACTACACTACTACCCCCACCACTACACTACTACCCCCACCACTACACTACTACCCCCACCACTACACTACCACCCCCACCACTACACTACCACCCCACCACTACACTACCACCACCATCAATACTACAACCCCCCCACCACTACACTACTACCCCACCCACTACTACTACCCCCACCACTACACTACTACCCCCACCACTACTACTACCACCCCACCACCACTACTACCACCACTACACTACTACACCCCCACCACTAACACTCACCACACACTACCACCCCCACCACTACACTACCACCCCCACCACTACACTACCACCCCACCACTACACTACCACCACCATCAATACTACAACCCTTACCAGTTACCACAATCACATCAACAATGGTAGATTCAAACTATTATTTTTTTTTATTGAGAAACAGAAGTATTTCATCCAGTACTTGAACCTAATATTAATCATCGTCGTCATCCATGCTTGTGGGAGTTACCGGTAATTGTCTGATGGCCTGGTGTCCCGGTTACCACCAGGCACAGTGTACAGTAGTTTTACGGACGGATGTAATTTTTGCCAACTCACCGTAGCTGGCAAGAGAATGGCCACAAGTAATCAAGAGGTAACCCAGGCCACCCTACAGTACAATGACGCTGGCCTCCTGGTGTTAACTGCAGGAACCATCAGAACCCCATAGTGTAGCCGCGACGCCTCCTCCCGGTAACAATAGTAATAATAATAACGCGGTGACGAGTGGCGATGACTGAATTTTATATATGGATAAAGTTTCACCGTCAAGTTTCTCTACGTCTTGAGGTAGTGTGACCATGGTATTATTCTTGAGAAATAGTTAAAGATTCATCAGGTAAGGTGAGAGTGTGTAGTGAAGATGACTCATGATCGCCTCTCATGACGACGTAAACATTGCTGGCGTCATGAGGATACTGGAGCAAAGGTCTCCCATAAATATACAGTCTCGGGGCGGCGTTTATCCGAGATTGTAATCAAACAATATGGCGCGGGAGATGGGTGACGTCATATCCGCGGCTTGTCGACACACAGCACACCCAGCAACATGTTTTGTTTACAGTGTTTCATTATAAACACATTTCCAGCCATAATATGTATGTCTGGCTACTGTTTGTTTATTTGTTTTCATTGTCATTGTATAAAAAAGTTGGTAGGACTTTCCACTAAGGTCTAATGAGATAACATTCGAGACACGATTGGGCATACACTGGGCAGTCCAAGTTTCATGTACAAGTGTGTGTGTGGCGCCACCAGCCTGACCTATTTGATGCCAGTAGTTCCGCAGTTGGATGAATAACTGGACAGAGAGCCTTAACACCCCCCCCCCTCCGCTGTCTCGTGTGGATCCCAAATAACCGGATGTCTGAAAACTGTTTATAGTATCGATGCCAAGAACCTGAGGGCAAAGTTGACGGTAACCCCTTCGAGTATGATGACAACCCTTCGAGTATGACAACCCCTTGAGTATGATGACAACCCTTCGAGTATGATGACAACCCCTTCGAGTACGATGACAAGCCCTCGAGTACTATGACAACCACTCGAGTACAGTCATCGTACTCCAGTGAGGCCGACTGCTTTAATCGACCAACCATCCCTTACCCGATCTAACATAAGGTACCCATTCCCAC